GAGAAGTTGACATCTGGAGTGCTGACGATCTTTAGATAAGCATATTCGTGAGAGCGAGCGTTCACTTGCCATAAATATATTAAAACGTAATGTAAGAAGCCAATTAACAAATACATTAACATTGTTTCAAGGTTAACGCATCTATAAAAAATAAAACGGTACCATTAAAAAAATGAAGCTATGAATAATTTGATGTGTGCAGATATTTGAATAAATAGAAATATTATTTGAAGTTGTTGTGTCGTTGTGTTGTAAATTGGAGTAATATTATAGGCCTTATGCTTTTTCTTAGTAATTATGACTGTCACAAGGCGTTTAAAAACACACTCTAGTACTGTCGTATTTTATGTATGTGTTCTGCTAGTATTGCAGTTATTTGGTGAGCTGCAATGGGGCTCATATCAGTGTGATGTCTCTAAGCTATAGATTTTTTAGCTTACACGTAAATCATGCAATTTATACATTGTAATATTAATTGTAATTATAATGAAAAATGAACTAATCAATGATAATACATACGTACACTTAAAACATTTACCAAAATGAAGAAAACAAAAAAAATTAATCATATTTATCAATATCAAGCGAATAATTTAAAGAAATATTAGGCATAATGTTATGACGTAAATGAATGGCTAAAGTGAGAGAGACACATAACCTGTCACTAGACTACCATATTCTAACAAACCAAAGTGAGAGAGACACATAACCTGTCACTAGACTGCCATACTGTAACATGTACTTACCAGGTTTTTCTATTGGCGTTGTGATAATTGTAGAGTGAAGATGATGATTTTTCCTTTGTTTTATTTAATTTTTTATTTAATTAATAAAAATGGTGCAACTGAGAAGGAAATTGTCTAAAACATTTGTAAATTAACCTCATAGCTTTTATAAATTTAACCATTGCACTTTTTAAATAAATAAAAAAAGTTGTATGCATAAATAATGTTAGACTTGTCAAAAGAATAACATTACTAAGTTTTACTTCATAAATCATAATTGTGTTTTTTAAGTGAAGTGTGTAATCATTGAAAATGCCGTTTTTAGTATCAACGTTTGGTTGTCTCTCTTAACTCTATGCATAACATTAATGGGAAACAGTTCGTACAACTAAGTTTGGAATATAGAAATAAACACATTTTGCATACACATGTAAAGCAATTGACCAATTTATTTAATACATATTACACAATTTTTAAGTTAACTGAAAAATAACATGTTTATTCTTGCTACATTAAAATTAAATGGTGTATGTGTAGGTCAGAGTAGTAGCTATGGAAGGGCGGGTACCAGTACAAAAACATGTGTTGATGATTTTACAACCAACAACTATCTAAACACAGCTGATGCCAATACAACCAATCATATCTACAGAGGTAAACTTAACCGTCAGTTGTTCAACAAAAGACACCAATCATATCTACAGTGGTAAACTTGGCCGTTAGTTGTTCAACAAAAGACACCAATCATATCTACAGTGGTAAACTTAACCGTCAGTTGTTCAAGACACCAATCATATCTACAGTTGTAAACTTGGCCGTTAGTTGTTCAACAAAAGACACCAATCATATCTACAGTGGTAAACGTAACCGTTAGTTCTTCAACAAAAAACACCAATCATATCTACAGTGGTAAACTTGGATCTTGGTTAAGTGGTATGGACTAATAACTCTTGCTGAAATAAATTTGGAAAGGATAAATAGATACACCTTAAATCGTCGTCTATTGTGTGAATAATATAAATCTTTTGAAGCTGCAAAATCACTTAAACACAACTACAATGTAAATACCGTGATTACATCGTTGAATCATTTAGTTGTTAACAATTTAAAATTTATATGTATTTAAAAAGTGTTTTTATCACTTGCCATTTTGTTATTTTAATTAGGTTAAGGGAAGTAACTTACATCATTGGTTGAACACTTTCCCCAATGTGTTGATACTTCTCTCATTCTAGAGCTGGTTGAACACTTTCCCCAAATGTGTTGATACTTCTCTCATTCTAGAGTTGGTTGAACACTTTCCCAAATGTGTTGATACTTCTCTCATTCTAGAGTTGGTTGAACACTTCCCCAAATGTGTTGATCTGACATTAAAATGCCGTATTGTGACTTATATTTAGCATCACATTAACATCTAATTATCTATTTGTTTCTTTCTCTTTGGGTTTAGAGCATTGCCGAGTGAATACGATATGGTGAGTCTTTTCTTCTATTTTTTTTTTCGTATTTGTTTAAAATAATAGTGAAAAACAAGGAATTAAAGAGACCGTAGATAAATAGAAGTTTTCTCTTGTCTTTAAAATATTTGTAAATTAATCTCGAAGCGTTTAAAAATTAAACCAATGCAAAATTTTTAATTAAAATAATATTTTACGAATAAAAACAAAGTATATAAGTGTCAAACGCATAATGTTTCTAGTTTAAAAAAAAAGATTAGACATTTGTGGTTTAATTAAAGTGCGCCTTTTTGAAAAGACTGTCAATGTGTATTAAAGTTTGGTTGTCTCTCTTCTACTTTATACTTAAAATCAATGGGAAATAATTCGTATAGTTTATTTGCCATAATAATGTAACATGTTCATAGACCCACCTGATACTTGTATTAAATACATATTGCACATAGTTAATGCCATTTAAAATTAACTACAAATAGAACATGTTTATTCTCGCTACATCAAATGGTGTACACGTTGGGCACAGTCGTAGCTATGGAAGCGCTTGTGGGGCGGCCGCCCGAGGCGCCAAACTTTCTTGGGGGGTGTGGGCGTAGCGAACTGTGGGACTTTTTTAAAGCCCATTTTTTTTTTGCTGCATTACTTAATGACATACTGTCGAAGCTAAGAAAAAAAGACGGGCTTATTTAACTGATTTCAACATCCATTGTTTGACACCAACAGAAACAAAAATAAACATTAAAGGACAGTGACTGGTAAAAAGCGCCCCCGCCAGTACCTAATTGTGTGGGAAAGGGCGATCTTTTTGCCAATATAGATAACTATACAACTGGGTGGGGGAGGATAAATGCATTATATATAACTATAGAAATGGGTGAAGCAAAGTTGATAGTTCGCTACGCCTCTGACGTTATCATCTGGTTTAGATACAATGTGACATACATTTATATGAGCATATAATACAATGTAACCATATTTGATATATTTAAATGGTCATATGATACAATGTGACTATATTTGGTTCGTGTAAATGACCATATAATACAATGTAAGCATATTTAATACATTTAAATAGCTATATAAGACAATGTAACCATATTTGAGATATTCAAATGGCCATTTAATACAATGTAACTGTATTTGAGATATTTGATAATACAATGCATCCATATCTAAAAGATGTTACATGAATTGTATACTTTTGAATAGTTTACTATATAAATATATCTGATTGCGCCGGTACTTTAATACTTATACAATAGAGTGCTAAGTATTACTGCTATATGTATCTAGCAGGTATTTACCATGGGTCTCCAAGATATCAAAGGAATGTTCCGCAAGTCTCTAACGGGCCCAGCATATCTCTGGCAAGGGTCTAACATAGACGTTGTCAGGATCGTGTGATATACTGGAAGGTAAACCGTCTAGTAGAGGTTCATTTAGTAAATGTTAATGTTACATCTGTTACATCGTCACAAAAAAATGTCCCACATACCTGACGGTCATATAAGTACCAATATATGTTTGGGACATTAAAAAATTATGTGTGCCAAAAGCAATATTATAATACATTGTTAAAGAAAAAAAATCGTTCATAACCTAATCCTAATATATAAAAGCCCAATGTGCGCACATCTCTCTCTCTCTCTCTCTCTCTTTCTCTGTCCGCAAAAAATTTTCGCCGGACATCACGTCAGAATCGGCAGCGATATATCGAGAATTTTTTACGGACTTTTGTTGAAAATAATATGTTAGATGTTTTAAATGTATAACCACAATTTTATTTAAAGAAGAAAAATAAAAATTAAAGGCGTATTCGAATGTAGAGAAACAGTATTATTTATGCAACCGGAAAAGCATTAATATATGTGAAAAAGAACGCATAAAACTGTGACGTCACTATTGCTTATACATTAACTATTGACGTCATCTGCCTAAATAGCGAAGATGTTAGTGTACATTAAACCACGCAGGTGGTGCGGGTTCGAGACACACCAAGTCAACTTGGTTAATGTATTTTTTTTTATTATGCTCGGGCTAAACTTAAAAAAAAATTCTTTTAGGAATCTAGATCTAGATCTAGATTGTCGGGTGTCCGATAGGGCACTTCCCGGCGCCGCAGGCGCTTCAAATTTGGCAGGATCTTGCCTTGGGGCGACAGAACACGGGGGCCGGTTGGCCGAAAAGTCTACGATGAGGGGGTCAAAACTGACCTCGACTGACCGGTACCTTATATGAGCTATAAATCGAAAAAAAATGTCCACGGATTAAACCTCTTCATAACTCTTGAGGTCGTAGACCGACCCTCGGGCGAATTAATTAAGCATGCAAATTCTCAATGTTTTCGAAAGCCTAAGCGAAGCTGGGCAGCATGCCTAGTTCCGTAAATAAAGGGTTACTATTTAATGAACTATTTCGGTGCATTGTTACGGCTATCTTTCATTTATCACAATTCAGAAATTCAATATTTTTTAAATCAAATATCGTATCTATAAATTTAAATAAAGACGGAAATACGGTGTATGTTTGGTTGTCTGTTTGTCTGTCAGTCTGTCTGGATTAGATTAAATATTGTCACTTTAAATTACTTTCTATTTGATGACTGTGTTCAAACTTCAATGGTATTTGCATAACTGACAGTATCGTTTGATACAGTTGAAAAAAAAAAACAACAAGTAAATTAAACTGTGTCCGTCCAAATATTGTATTTCAAATTACTTTAAAATGTGCACCCAAAATATGAAAATAAAAATTACATTTGACAGAAAAAAAAACTTTTTTTTTTTTGATGTAGCATACAACTATTCAAAACAATAGCCTGATTAAGCCCAAACACAATGTCATTGTCAGTATCCAGTCATAAAAGAACAATTACTAGACAGAGCCAAACACAACTAAGTCACACAGTCTTAAAACCTCTTTAAGTTAAAGCTCTAGGATTACCAAATAATCCACATGACTAATCCACCATGTAGAAATTATTTAATAACTTACAGTAGGCCTACAGTAGTTATTGACAACAAAACAAAGATGCAATAATAAGTTTAAAGGAAATCTACACCGAAAGCAAAATGTTTTACCGTTGCTGTTAAACACACTTGTTTAAGTATAAGATATGGTCTTTAATATTGATGCTCATTATAAAAACAGTTTCATAAAAGAAACCAACCAATGCAATCACCATATAACATTGTCACTAATAAATATTGGTTTTCTCCACAAAACTCTCAAACTCATATGCCATTGGGAAAGTAATAATAAAACATTCTCATTATTTCAAATCGTATTATTTCAACCATTGAGGTAAACAAATGAAATAACTAATATATACAATAACATCCTGCTCAGCCAACAACCCAATTTACAATTACTGAAGATTTAGTAAATACATTATTCAAGATGAAAAAAATAATGCCAGAACTCGGCTTCTTTTTAAAAGTAGCTTATACAAACCAGTTGTCAAAAATAGAAGAGAAAAAAAAAATAGAAAATGCTTATTACACAGAGAAAATTTATGTTCGTAGTCTTATGTTTTAGGTCCAAGAAAAATAGAACTTGGGTCACTATAAGAGCCACATCTGCCGTACTGGTCCACAGCACGAACTGCAAAATGGTATTTGTTACCCTCCTGAAACTGTGTCAAAGTACAAGCCATGGGAAGTGGGAGAGCTTTCACATCCCCAACCTTCTTCCATAGATTAGACTTGGGAACTGATGACTCAGTTTCCTGGTATGCGAAAAGTTGGTAGGAGGAAATTTTCTCAACCTCCACCAAAGAGGGCATGTTCCATGATAAGACTATTCCTTGTGACACACGTGAGATCTTAAGACCAGGTTTTGGAGGACGGTTTTTGGCATTTGGTGGTGCATTACCAGCATCTTGATTTGTGGGTAAAGGTGCAGGGTGTTTATTACTTATATGGCAAGATGGTGGCAAACTATGAGTTTTTGTAGGTGCAGCAGCTGATGAATTATTGTACAACACACCCCTAGGCGATGTGAGCTGTGCATTTGGAATGGAAGAATTGATTGGTCCACTAGATCTGGCCCCAGGCAATAAAGCAAGTACAGGAGGACGGTTTACTGTTGTATTAGTGTTGATTGGGAGCAGCTGGAACGATGCTCCTGGAAGTCCATTGTTAGATGTAATAAACTGTTGATTGTTTAAAGGTTGGGCCAAAAGCTGGTTGTTAGTGTTCAACATAACAGGTGTGCCAGTTGACATGGGGACATTGTGAATCAACCCATTTGTTGCTGGATAAGTCTTGTTACCAGCACCAATGTTTGTGGTTTGTGTATTTGATTGTGTAGGAGCTCGAAGTGCTTTTCTTGAAACATCATCGTCATCAGTTAAATCAATCAAGTTAACCACATTGTTGGTGGCTGGCGATGTAAGAGAACCTCTGATTGCCTGTTGAACAGACTTATTTAGTGAGGAAGATTGTGGTCTGGGAGATATGTTTGCTGGAGCACGGGGTGAGAATTGTTGGTTTGGTCTTCCAAACCGTGGTGAAGTTTGTATGCCTTGCGGGTGGGGTGGAGCTGAGTTGCGATTTGGCATACGAAGAGTATTCGTTTTTCCCTGAGTTTGAGGTTGTCTAATAGAGGAATGAATTTGCTGTGGGGGATTCTGTAACACAGACGGAGGTAAACATACAGAAACACTTGATTGCACGGTATCTAATTGTTTATTTGGAGATCCATTAACGGTAGATGTAACAGTTTTAACTTTATCTTCATTGACTTGTATCCCAATGGTCCTCGAAGCAAGTTGCTTTACAGTATGCGAATGAGCTTTTCTTTTCTCAAGTTTTTGATTAAGAAGAGAAAGTTCCATCACCGATCTCTCAAGATGTTTAGCAGTTTCTTTCCACAAGTTACTGGCAGTCTGCATATTTCTTGTTCTCTTGTTTAGTTTTTCTATGTGTACTTGTTTTTGATTTCTTATGAATGCTTTTACACGAGCAGTAATAAAGGTTTGTAGTGCCTCACATGACAGTTGAATTGGAGATTCTTGGTATTTTGTTTCCTTGGCTTCAGCTGTAATATTTTTGTTTTCACTTGAAAGCTGATCTTCCGATTTAGCTTTCTTTGTGAAACTAGAAGAGCCATCCTCAGATAAAGCACGTGTTCTGATACTTTCTGGTTTTAACTCAATTTGAGTTGATTCATTATTGTCTAGTTGAATATCAACAACACCTTCAGCATGTGTTGAACTCTTTTCAAAGAGATCATTGTTTTCTGTTTCCATTTCCTCATGACTTGATCCTTCCGTTGCTTCGGTTGGCTTATTTGTAAAGGATTGCCGTAAAATATTTTTGAAGCTAAATGTATCCAGGCTAATATTTTTATTCCCTTCTTTGACAGCTAGGTTTTCTTCAGTTATAATTAACTCTGGATCATCAGAGCAGGGATTATTAGGTGTGATTTCAGTAAAACTGTTTTGAGAATTAGCTGATAAGTCACCAGCTTTAGAATCGTCTTTAGAAACACAACCAACAATTACAATGTCTAATTCAGGGCTTTCCGCTGTCATATCCGGCTCACTGTGTATTTGTATATCCATTGACTCCTGGCTATTTTTATTATCTATATCAGTTTCTTGAGCATCAAGTTTGTCTCTTTCACTATCTTCAGCTTCATCACTTTTATTACAATCTAAATCTTCATTTATAATTAAAATTTCCTCACTCTCTGATGAAGTAACGTCATCATAATCAGTAGATTTAACAAAACTTGAATCAGGTACTGGTATTTGAGCCTGCTTATCACCTAAGCAATTAGCAACTTGTATGCTTATTTCCTGGTTTGTCACATTAGGTAGCTCATCATTACCTTGAGCTAGCTCAGCAGCTGAGCCAGAGACAGTCATTTTAGCTTGCCTTTCAACAAAAAACTTTATTAGTCATTAATCTTGAAAGACTTACTAGAGGAAATTTTCAACCGACCGAATTGGTTGTCTTTGGTAAATGTATAACGCTTGTCTACCGTTTTCGTAATTAATTTTATTACCTTATATTTTAAGACACATATAAGAACAGGGCACAATCTTTTTGTTAGTAGTAATATATTATTTTTGTAATTTAATTGTGTGCAATTATTAGCCCGTTTTATTTTATAAAAAGAAAATTCAATGATATCAAAATATTTTGAAGTCAATTATTAAGTTATTGCCCCTGAAATGTTTTGGACTAAAACTTTCGGAAACATTTGTTTTAATTGCAATATTAAAATTACAAAACTCTAGCCTAATCACGTACTATATATATATATATATATATGTATATATATATATATATATATATATATATATATATATATATATATATATATATATATATATGTATATATATATATATATATATATATATATATATATATATATATATATATATTGCAATATTTTCACTGAAAGTCATACAGTATTAGATTTATCACGCTAGTAATCCACGTCATTTCTACTGTTATTTCATTACTGAATTGAAATCCTACCAGTACTTGGCCAGTGGCGCTGAAAGTATTAGCACATGCCATTTTCCTGACATAATATATTAGGAGTTTGATAAAACATTACATAAATACAATTGTTTTTTTTTTAAACACACGTTTAAATCATGTATGTGTTTAATATATCTTACAATCGAAATGTGGAAGCGCGTTTTCAACGTGCCTTAAATGTGTCTTAATGTGTTTTGCATTTGTCTTACATGTGTCTTAATTGCTTTTAGTCAACATCAGGCCTAGCTTATATCTGATACAAGAGTTTAAAAACGCAGTGTTAATTTTATAAAGTATGTCTGTGTTAGGGCCCTTATTGTATACAGCCGGCATTGGCCAATCATGTATCTATCGCCCTTCCATTTTGTCGAGCGGTTATAATCTGTATTATTGTGATGTGTAACGGCTGTTTATGACAGTGACAGGATTTACATGTTAGTTGCAGTCTTTACAGGGTAGTGGCAGGCTTTACATGGTAGTGGCACAGAGGCGTAGCGACCCTTCCCGGCGCCCGGGGACAAACTTTTCGATTTGCACCCCTCCCCCTCAAGATTTCGATTTGCACCACCCCCCCCCCCCCCCTCTCAAACTTTCGATTTGCACCCCCCTCAAACTTTCAATTTATTTTTCCAACCCATTTTGGCGCCCCCTAAGGTCGGCGCCCGGGGACATATGCCCCCCCCCCTCGCTACGCTATTGTAGTGACATGTTTTACATGGTATAGGGCTGGTAAGTAGGTCACCAACCACTTCTATGGCTCATGCAGGTTTTATTGAGCCGTAGATCTGGTTGGTGACCTTCTTACCAGCCCTATTGGTAGGTTTTACATAGTAGTGAGCAGAGTTTCTTCCAGGGTGGTAAAAATGATGGTAATGGTGGTGATGATGGTGATGACGACGAGGAAGATGATGATGATACCAATTTGGTGAATCAGCTTTGACAATGTCGAGTTTAGATCGCCCACCTGTTCTAATCCTATACCTAACACACCAGATAGTTGAATCAGCTTTAACAATGTCGAGTTTAGATCGCCCACCTTCTCTATGCCTATACCTAACACATCAGAAAGTTCACCATTGACACACAGCTCTTTGTATGTTGACCAATTTGAAAATGTCTTAAGACATTAGCTCAAGTTTTCATTTACCAGAATAGAAAAGAATAATATGTAAGATTCATCACCTAAGAATACGTTTATAAGCAGCATAAACAGCCAATAATATGTAAACTATTTAAAAAAAAAACTTTATTTCGATAATTATAATTACTTTAAATTTGGAACCTTAAAAGTAATACAATCGATGCTGTAAAATCTGTTATTTTTGCACATTGAAATTGCTACATTTTTTTTTAATGTGTCTTATGCATGTACATTTTCCTTTAGTGGGATACATTCAGTACAAATGCAATACAAGTCTGATTGCTCGACATTATAGGTGACTTGCTCTTTATGACCATGTGTCTTACATTACATTTAAGAATGTATTGACATTTATGATATTTTTTTGTAACGTATTTAATTAACAATACGTATGATCCCCTTAACAAAAAAAAAATAAATAAATAAATAAAAATCACTGTTTTCCTGTCCTACTCGTCCCGTAAGAATAAATTGATATCCGCCATCATATTGAATCTCTCCGGTGTTTGTTAGTTGTATTTTACTTCGACTCCAAAGTTCCAAGAGCAAAATAATATTACAGTTTATTCATATATAGGCGCATATGAGACTATTCCTAACGTTTTCGATAAAGTCCCTGATGCTTGCAAATATATTCCTTTACAAGTCATATTGACAGTCAGGATAGTGTCCAGCTCACAATAATTACATTGTTCTTATAAATACAACCAATGTCGGTATATAGAGATTGTTTTATATGTCTAAAACATCAATAATCTGTAGCTGTAGATAAATAAAATTCGACAATACTGGAATACAAAGATACTAAATGTTAAACGTAATGTAGTCTATTTTTTTTTTGATGGATGAGAAATGCATACAGAGCCATTTTAGTTTCACTCTCCTACTTCATTCAAAGCAAAAACTTCAGGTTATTGAATTTCAACTTTTACAGTCTAGAGTTTAGATCTTTGACGTTTGTTACTAAATATTGTGCGTCACACATATATTCTACATACTGTACTTGTTCTCGATTTAAACTACATTATTGATTACACTATTTCTTACTTTTTCTTGTTCTCTTCTTTCTTAAAACTTTGAAACATTGTAAGTTGATGTTTGCTTTGAAATTTTAAAAGTAAATACAATAAATAAATTAAAAAAGACTGTGGTAGATTATAGGTTTATATGAGCAGGGTTTCAGGAAAGTCCATACACCTCCCCCCCCCCTCCCCTACCAAATAAAATAAACCATGCAGAGAACTCCCACAAAAGCACGGAAAACTTTCTAAGGGGGACATCCATAAATGACGTCACGCTTTTAAAACAATGTTTACTTCCCCCATGCCCTTAGTCACACTTCGTTACAAAAAGCCAAGCCCCCCTCCCCCTAAAATGACGTTACACATCAGCCTACAAACCCAACCCTTTAACATTGCTGTTGAATTTTCCTTAAAACAGCGATCTTTTTCAGATATCTTTTTAGAATTTATTAAAACAATGTTTTTTTTAAAACCCGAAATAACGGCTAAAATTGTTTTTTTTTATAATGCAAATTGGTGACGTCACACTATCTGAACACCCCCTCAGAGACGTAGCAACCCTTCTCGGAGCCCGGGTACAAAGTCGTTTTACCAAAATGTATTTTGCGACAAACTCCTTCTTAAGCGTTGCGGTGTTAAAGTTTTTAAAAAATAATAATGATAACACTATTTAAACGTTATACATATATTTTACAGTTATACCATTACAATTAATATTTCATACTGTATTGGTTAGAGTTCTAAATCAGTAAAGATACTATCTGGAACAAAATGTGTTTTTTTTTAAAAACTTAAATACATATCTTATATGGGAAAAATTACAAGGGAGGCAAGGCAAAGCAAACTACTAAACTTTCGGTTTTAGTCAATTTTATAAATGTATATTTAAAAATAAAAGTAGTCATAGAAGAAATCATCAAGCAAATTAAATCAAAATTTTAGAAAATATTAACAAAATTAGAAGTCACGCTAATATGCATTTAAACTCTCTCAGGTTTTAAAACTTGAAAACAGTGACTTTAATGTATACATTTTTATAAGACAAGCAATGTATTTAAATTGTTTTAACATCAATTAGTACCTGAAAATTTGATTAAATTACTTTGACATAAAAAAAAAAAAAAAAAAAAAAAAAAAAAAAAACAGTAATACGTTCATATAAGCCAGGGGTCGCATGCAGATCTGTTGATTTTAAGTGGCGGCCCTCGAGTTCCATGCATAAGTATTAGAAATTATTGTATTATTTTATTTTCAAAACCCATAACAAATATTATACTGTAAAGAATCAGAACTTTAAACATAAAAACTCTAATCAGCGAATGAGAATAGGTGGGAGTAGAGAGTATTCGGACAGCTGACAGCCGCTTGGGCACCAAGCCCAGTCCCACAGCCGTGTAATGCTTACCAATTCCCAAGTGCCAACTTTTTCCAATATCGTTAAATGGAGTATGTTATTTTATTCAGAATGCATGTCCCTATCTGTCAGTAATCATTATTTTAACCTGAGTAACGTAGTTTTTTAGTTATTAGCTTCCTACTGTTGAGTCGGGTACAGGACGGTGGGGTACGAGTTTACCCTGCGTTCAGTGGGTTGGAAGATAAGCCCGGTGAGAACCGAAGGACAGAAGCGACCGATACACCGTACTTAAACCAATACTTAAGCCAGTTAGTCGGAGTTTGCCGTGTTGATGCCTGCTTGGTTAATGACAGACACATCCTGAACAGCTGATGTCGATAAAGAAAGAAAAAGTTAACAGCTTCTAAAGTGGATTGGGATAGTCCTATAGTTATACTATTCGATTGTCGTTTTGTAGTCGTTGTCTTTGGGCTGCCTTTTCTTGTTCCTCCCATGGCTTTATTACATTATACCTCCCGTCTTTCTTTTGGATCCCGTCCATGAACCGGACGTAAAGTTGGTTACACATGGTGGGATAGTGCCTATCTGTTTTACAGTTGGGGCACAACATCCTTCTCTCTGAGAGGTGGATCACTGTCACCTGTGCCGCCCCTTCAGCGTCTTTAAATCTTATAAAGTGAGGTATTTTTTCTTTGTCCATTTTGGGCTTAAATATGAATGTATAGTTGTTCCCTCGGTCCTCAGTCTTGATGTTTGGGCTGGTCCCCTCTTCACATAGGCCCCGAAGGGCTGTTTCCAGTTCAGCCTTACTAATGTGAGGGGGAACGCATCTCAGTGTACCTTTAACACAATCA